CTATTGATGCAGGCCAAAATCCCATTGGCTTTTTTGGCCACCACATCACATTGTTGGCTCATGTTTAACTTGCTCTCCACGAGGACTCTAAGATCTTTTTCACACGTACTGCTCTCAAGCCAGGCATCATCGTCCCCCATTCTATATCTTTGCATTTCGTCTTTCCTGCCAAAGTGGAGTATCTTGCATTTGTCACATGACTGGCCTTAATGTCAGGGGACAACCTTTACCTTTTATACCCTCCTGGGAAGCTCTTTCCATTCTCTTGCACTACATTTTACTCCCTCTCACTGTCTTCTCCTTTCTTGTTCTCCTTTTTTGTATCCTCTTGCACTCTTACCCCTCTTGCACTTCATCCTCTTTCACCTCCCTTCCACTCTATGGCATCGCCTTGCACTTTTTTACACCACCTTGTATTCCCAGTCCTTTCCCCCTCTTGCACTCCCTTCTACCTTCTTGCACTTTCCTGTACTCCTCTTTCGCACTTTATTGCATTCCTTTCCCCCTCTTGCACTCCCTTCTACCTTCTTGCACTTTCCTGTACTCCTCTTTCGCACTTTATTGCATTCCTTTCCCCCTCTTGCACCTCCTTCTACCTTCTTGCACTTTCCCATACTCCTCTTTCGCACTTTATTGCATTCCTTTCCCCCTCTTGCACTTCCTTCTACCTTCTTGCACTTTCCCATACTCCTCTTTCACACTTTATTGCATTCTTTTCCACTCTCTTCCACTTTTTTGTATTTTCCCAGCCTTTTCCACTTCCTCCCACGCCCTTTTGCATCCTTCCACCCCTTTGTACCCTCTTCCGCCCTCTGGCACGCTCTTGCACTCCCACCAGTTACTTTCTTCTGGGGAGGAAAGGGTGAAGTAGAGAGGGGGAGACCAAGAAGGACTCTTTTCCACACTTTCCCCCCAAGCGTACATAGAAAGAGCTGCCTGTAACCCAAGAGAGTCCCAGGCAGAGCGGGAGGGTGGCACCCCTTGGAGAGCCAAGCCACAGGGATGCCAGCTCTCCCTCTCTCTCTCCCTCTCCCTTCCCTTCGGCTGGGCAGCCGCTGTTTGCCCAAGGCATTCCTGGGCATGGCACAGGGCGCTTCTTGTCTCCTTCCGACACAGAAAGAAAGGGATACTGTACACCCCTCGCACTATGTAACAAAATATGAAAAATGTTCTGTTCCTGGTTTGAAAGTGTTATTTCGCGTTTAATTGCACACTCCTTACTTTGAAAGTCGGTGTCCTACTCAAGAAACTTTGTTTTTGTGGCTGCCACAAAATAGGTTGAATTGGTTGAGACTCAATGAGAGATTTATTGAAAAGCTATAGCAAAATGTGCTACAGGATGCCCTACAAAAACAAAGTTTTTGCAGTTTCATAAACTTTTCCCATGTTTGTATGACAGGACCAATTAGAAAATGATATGTACAACCCAGGAACAAAAATCATGTTACATAGTGTAATGTAACACTTTATAATTTTGGAACTTTTGCGTTTGCGACTTCTTTCCTCCAAAAACATAAACAGCCTTACCAGGATACAAGATTCCAATAGTAGAGAATTGCAAGAGCATTTTTTAAAGGAAGGTTTGCAACTTTTTGCTTTTGTTTGCCCTCATCCAAACCGTCACAGCGGCCAAGCACCGGTTCAGGACCTCGACAGCCTCCTTAGTAGCAGGTGAAAAGGAGTGACAGAGTTGGACATCATCTGCGTACAGATGACATCGCACTCCGAAACTCCGGATGATCTCGCCCAGCGGCTTCATGTAGATGTTAAACAACATGGGAGACAGTATTGAACCCTGAAGAACCCCACAAGACAAAGGTTGTGGGGTTGAACAGGAGTCTCCCAGTAACACCTTCTGAGACCGACCCTCGAGGAATGAGCGGAGCCACTGCAAAACAGTACCTCCAAGACCCATCCCCACGAGGCGTCCCAGAAGGATACCGTGGTCGACGGTATCGAAGGCCGCTGAGAGGTCGAGCAGCACCAACAGGGACACACTCCCCCTGTCGAGCTCCCGGCGCAGATCATCCACTAAGGCGACCAAGGCTGTCTCGGTACCATGCCCCGGCCTAAAGCCAGACTGTGCCGGATCCAGATAATCCGTGTCTACCAAGAATGCCTGGAGTTGTGAGGCCACCACACGTTCCAGGACTTTGCCCAAAAAGGAGATTGGAAACAGGCCGATAGTTGACGAATTGAGTGTGATCCAGTGATGGTTTTTTCAACAGCGGTTTTATCACAGCTTGTTTTAAGCTGGCTGGAATTTTGCCTTACAGGACCAATTAGAAAATGATATGTACAACCCAGGAACAAAAATCATGTTACATAGTGTAATGTAACACTTTATAATTTTGGAACTTTTGCGTTTGCGACTTCTTTCCTCCAAAAACATAAACAGCCTTACCAGGATACAAGATTCCAATAGTAGAGAATTGCAAGAGCATTTTTTAAAGGAAGGTTTGCAACTTTTTGCTTTATAATAATAATAATAATAATAACAACAACAACAACAATAAAAAACTGGAAAAGCTGACACTATATGAGGATTTAAAGATCGAACTGCAAAGACTCTGGCACAAGCCAGTCAAGGTGGTCCCAGTGGAGATCGGCACACTGGGTGCAGTGCCTAAAGGCTTTGGCCTGCACTTAAACACAATCGGCACTGACAAGATTACCATCTGAGCTACAAAAGGCCACCCTACTGGGATCTGCATGCATTATTCACTGATACATCACACAGTCCTAGACACTTGGGAAGTGTTCGACGTGTGATCCAATACAACAGCCAGCAGAGTGATCTTGTCTGCTGTGGATTCATCTTGCTGTGTTTCAAATAATAATAATAATTATTATTATTATTTATTTATTTATTTATTTATTTATTTATTTATACCCTGCCACCATCTCCCCAAGGGGACTCCGGGTGGCTCACATGAGGCCAAGCCCAGCAATACAACAATGCAAATATACAACATAAAAATACAACAATAAAATATAAGAAAATAAAATACAAGAAACAATATAAATAAACACATCAGAGCAATATAAAATCACAATATTTGATTGTGGCCATGGGCTGTCTTTGTTTCACCTACTACTCTTAATGACCACGGTGTTCCATGCTCCCATTACATCTAGGATAGACCACTGCAACACACTCTACTTGATCGAATTGCCAGCATTTTCTGGCATATCCTTATTGGTGCTTTTAAGTGGTACCTATTTAACTACTCACATTTTGCTTTCGAACTGCTAGGTAGGCAGAATCTGGCCTAGAGGCCAGGAGCTTGAACTGTCAACTTTTTCATTGGGAATTGGCAAGTTTTACTCCAGCTGGTGATTAACCTGCTGCGCTAAAGCTTGGCCCTGTTCAAAGTATAAAACATATTCAAAGTTAAAGTCTTTACCGATACCTAATGATATCTAAAGTAAGTTACTGATGTCTAATATTTTAACGGCGTGTTTGTGTGTGTTTGGAGACAGAAGAATAGTTGCAATTATTACATCTAATTTTCCATTTCCATTACACTTACTTTCATGACTTAAAGTATTAAAACTTCATTACGTCTGAGTTGTTGTAGGTTTTTCGGGCTATATGGCCATGTTCTAGAAGCATTCTCTCCTGACGTTTCACCTGCATCTATGGCAATCATCCTCAGAGGTTGTGACCTCACAACCTCTGAGGATGCTTGCCATAGATGCAGGTGAAACGTCAGAAGGGAATGCTTCTAGAACATGGCCATATAGCCTGAAAAACCTACAACAACCCAGTGATTCCAGCCATGAAAGCCTTTGACAGTTCATTATATCCTCTGTAAAAAAAAAAGAGAGGAGTGATATTATAAGTTAGTTTTAAACCTGATGGTCGTCTTCTTAATATCTTTTTGTCTTATCTCATATGGTTCTTTCTTCTGTAAAAGTCCATCTCAGCTATTCTTTTCAGATGGTTTCTTTTAAATCTTTTATCGAAAGTCTCTAGAGTCTTGCTTATCCAACCTTCGCTCATCCGACGTTCTGTATTATCCAATGCAGTCTGCCTCCTGCCCAGATCCAGAGCTGTTCCAATACATTATGATGTTTGGGTGCTAAATTTGTAAATACAGCAAGTAGTACATAATGTTACCATGTATTGAACTGCATTTCTGTCGATTTGTTGTAAAACATGTTTTGGTGCATAATTTGTAAAATCATAACGTAATTTGACGTTTAATAGGCTTTTCCTTGATCCCTCCTTATTATCCAACATTTTTGCTTATCCAATGTTCTGCTCGATAAGCGAGACTCTACTGTATTATCTAAAATTCAAGACAATATATAAGTAAGTTAGTAAGGTAAAGGTTTCCCCTGACATTAACTCTAGTCGTGTCCAACTCTCTAGGTTGGTGCTCATCTCAGTTTCTAAGCCAAAGAGCCGGCGTTGTCCGCAGACGCCTGCTAAGTCATGTGACCAGCATGACTGCATGAAGCACTCTTACCTTTCCGCCGATCTGCTCCCATTTGCATGTTTTCAAACTGCTAGGTTGGCAGGAGCTGGGGCTTTTTTTTTTGTCATGTCAGGAGTGACTCCTGGTGTGAGAGAATTGGCCGTCTGCAAGGACGTTGCCCAGGGGACGCCTGGATGATTTGATGTTTTTATCATTCTTGTGGGAGGCTTCTCTCATGTCCCCGCATGAGGAGCTGGAGCTGATAGAGGGAGCTCATCCGCCTCTCCCCGGATTCGAACCTGTGACCTGTCGGTCTTCAGTCCTGCCGGCACAGGGGTTTAACCCACTGCGCCACCGGGGGCTCCATAGCTGGGGCTAACAGTGGGAGCTCACCCCATTCCCCAGATTTGAACCGCCAACTTTTCAGTCAGCAAATTCAGCAGCTCAGTGGTTTAGCCTGCTGCGCTACCAAGTGCTCTGTCTCACTGTGGTTATCATTCTTTGCTCGCTTTGTTCTTTGATGCCTGATAGGTTGAGACCTTCCCCTAGCCACCACTCAAAATGGGTCCCAATGTACTTTGCAATGCAAATGAAAACAAAATGCAATCACCTTATCAATGGGATGAGTTTCACACTAAGACCGTGGTTTCCTGATAGGTTGGGACCAACGGGATCATCTCCACCCAAGACTTCCCCAGAGAGACCCAGTACGTGGATGATGACTTCCCCACGGATTTCCCTGCGATCGCTCCCTTCTTAGCCGACATTGACACCAGCGACGGGAAGGGCAGGATTTATTACCGCCTGGAGGAATCCAAAGAGGTGCTGGATCAAGCTGTGCGGCTGATTCGGGCTGGGTTCCCTGCTGCTTCCAACTTCGAGCCTCAGTACGCCTTCATTGCTACTTGGGACAATGTCGGGGCCTATGAAGAAGTCGCCCGGAACGCAGAACCCTCCAAGCAGGTAAGGAGAGGATTTGGAGAATCCCATGGAAAAAGTACCAAAACATACCTGCAGTGTTGTTGGTATCTTCTTCATATGTAAATTCCCATATGGAGGCGGCTAATATTTTTGCCTGATGGGGAACAGTTGCACTGAAGTCAGCGTTGGGAAGTTGACCATGCTGTGCCATTGTGCATGGAGGCACATCTGTTTTGTTGCGCTTAATTTATTTCCGTCACTTTTACCCCGCCCTTCTCACCCCCAAGGGGGGACTCAGGGCGGCTTACAGAGGAAGGCACAATTCGATGCCTTTGTCACATATACATACATATATAAAAGCAATTAAACAGTTACAAATTAAAAATTAAAATCATCAATACAAAACAATACAATAACACAGTAGTAGACTAATCCTGAGCTCAGCGTTCGGAGTTCCGTAAGTCCATTCCGTCTCGTCAAATTCCAGCTCGTCATCAAGTCTTTCTTTAGCTGCCAGAATGTCCAAATGCCTGGTCCCATATCCAGGTTTTCAACTTTTTCCTAAATGAAAGAAGGGACGTTGCCGATCTAATCTCCCCGGGGAGTGAATTCCACAGGTGGGGGGCCACCACCGAGAAGGCCCTGCTCCTCGTCCCCGCCAATCTCACTTGTGATAGAGGCGGGGTCGAGAGCAGGGCCTCCCCAGAGGATCTTAGGTTCCGAGGTGGGACGTAGAGGGAGATCCGTTCGGACAGATACACTGGGCCGGAACCGTATAGGGTTTTGTAGGTCAAAACCAGCACTTTGAATTGTGCTCGGAATTGGATCGGCAGCCAGTGGAGCTGACACAACAGGGGGGTGGTGTGCTCCCTGTATGTCGCTCTGGTGAGCAATCTGGCTGCCTCCCGCTGGACCAGTTGGAGTTTCCGAGCAGTCTTCAAAGGCAACCCCACGTAGAGTGCGTTGCAGTAATCCAATTAAGCGGAATTTAGTCTGGTCCAATACAAAAGACACAATAACTTTGCAGAAAGGCATGAGGAAAAAGAACAGAAAACTTTACTCTTGTCAGCAGAGTCAAAACATAAACTTGCAGTGTTGCATACAAAATAAACAGTGCAACAAACTTACATAGTCCTTGTGAGAATTAAAGAATGCAAAGAGCAAAGCTTCTTCATCTTCCTTCAAATGAGCAGCGCAAAAGGTTGAGCAGAATGCCATGAGCATAAGCTCCTCAGAACAAAAGCTGAACTGTATTCTAAAACACATACAGTTATACCTCACTGGGTGTGACTCAAATTTACTAGCTGACCTAGATTAGCAGCTGCACATAATGATTAACACTATAAGGTTTTCTTTAACACCCACTTGATGTTGATCCTTTCACAACTTGCTGTAACATGTTTTACGCATGGATGCGCACTATGTCCCACAGAGGCACAGTGGTTGTGTGACATCCCAGTTTGGCATGGAAGAGGTTTATGGCAACAGCTGCATTTCTATTATCTCCTGCATCTTCTCTGTCAAATTTTCTATATTTAGTATTTCTGTCTTTTGGAATTATCATTTTACAAAGTCTTTGGCCTTCTCCCCAAACTACAAATCCCAGGATTCCAGAGTATTGAGCCATGGCAGTCCCAGCAGTGTCAAACTGCGTTAATTCAACAATGAATTTATTATTATTTATTATTTATTTACAGTATTTATATTCCGCCCTTCTCACCCCGCAGGGGACTCAGGGTGGATCACAATACACATATACATGGCAAACATTCAATGCCACAGACACACAACATACATAGACAGACACACGGACGCTATTTAACTTTCCAGCTTCAGGAGGGTATGCTTCGAATTCTGGCCACTGGGGGAGCTGTCACTTAACCGTTCACATGTGACACCGATGGAGTACTTCCTCATTCTTTTGCATGCTGCTGGAGAGTTTTATGGAGTTGTAAATTAGTTAAATTAGCCTCCCCACATAAGTGGTATCTCAATTTCCTACTTGACAGATGCAACTGTCTTCTGGACTGCAAAGGTTGACAGCAAGCTAGACAAATGGTTGGAAGCTTACTCTGACTCAGGCTGGCTTCGAACTCATGACCTTTCAGTTAGTAGTGATTTTAATACAGATGACTCCCAACCAGCTGCGCCATAACCTGGTCCTTACTAGCAATATGAGTAGCATTTCTTGAACCTCACCCTTGAGTAGTTTTGACTATTATTCTGTTTCCTTCCCATGGGTGAAAAGTACTTAAACCATACAGATTAATCAGCACACAGTTTCAACTAGCATCAAAGGTGTAGCCACAGTGCACATTTATTGCAGTTTGATACCACTTTAACTGCCAAGCTGTTTTCTACACAATCCTGGGATTTGTAGTTTGGGGAAGTGCTTTGGCTTCTTTGCCAGCTCTAGTTCAAGGGAATGGAGGGGACTCCAAACTACAAATCCCAGCATTCCATCAGGTGGAGCTGAGCAATGCAAAAAGCTATAAGTGCGCTGTGTGAACTAAATAAAGCAAAACCTTGGCTGCTTTGGAAACTATTTTCCCTTGTTTGGCCTTCTACCTTTTTCTGGGAGCGAAGAGGACGGGTGGGGTTTTCTTCCGGACCCTTCATTCACAACTCAGCAGGGAATGGGATCTTTCAGATTTTCCACAGTGTATGGAAAAGCATCACTAATGAAAAATTCCTATCCCAGGGGTTGTTTTGTTTTGTTTCCAATCTGGCTTGCTCAGGACAAGCTAGCATGTCCCCCGTGTGCTCTTTTGTCTGCAGAATCCAACTCTGCGAGAGATGCATTTTTAAAAAGGGTTGAATTCTTGTGTCTCTGGGATGATCATCTGCTTTGGGTTTCAGTCCGAACTTTGAAAGAACCGTCCAAGGCACTGAGGCCCCATCTACACTGCCATATGATCCAGTTTCTTAATCCAGATTTTCTGTGGCAGTGTAGGATCATATAATCCAGTTCAAATCAGATAATCTGGATTCAGAGACGGGATTATGTGGCGGTGTAGATCCAAGCTGACCCCTTTTCTCAACCCTCTCTTTCCCAAGCTAAACATACCCATTTCCCTAAGCAGTGCTTCCTAGGGATCCATGCTTCCCACAACTTTGACCATTTTGGTCGTTGTTCTCTGGACTCCTTTGAGCTTCTTCAGCTACTTCCCACTGGCAACGAAGATCTGTATAGTTAAAGCATAGTTAAAGCAATGGTATTCCCTGTAGTAACCTATGGATATGAGAGCTGGACCATAAGGAAGGCTGAGTGAAGGAATATAGATGCTTTTTGAACTGTGGTGTTGGAGGAAAATTCTGAGGATGCCTTGGACCTCAAGAAGATCCAAGCAGTCCATCTTCCAGGAAAGAAAGCCCAGCTACTCACTAGAGAGAAGGACATTAGATGCAAAGAGGAAGTCCTTTGGCCACATCATGAGAAGACAGGAAAGCTTAGAGAAGACAATGATGCTGGGGAAAATAGAAGGAAAAAGGAAGAGGGGCCGACCAAGGTCAAGATGGATGGATGGCATCCTTGAAGTGACTGGATTGACCTTGAAGGAGATGGAGGTGGCCACGGATGACAGGGAGCTCTGGCGTGGGCTGGTCCATGAGGTCACAAAGAGTCGAAACCAACTGAATGAATAAACGACAAATCACCTTCTTGAATTGCTCTTGAATCCAATCCTAAGTCAATGCAAATGAAAAGTTGTATGTGGGAGCTGAAATGAGGCTAAATAACAGACCTGGGCAAACTTGGACCCTCCAGGTGTTTTGGATTTCAACTCCTACAATTGTGGGAGTTGAAGTCTAAAACACCTGGAGGGTCCAAGTTTGCCCAGGTCTGCTAAAGAGCATTGTCCGCAACTAGAAGGATCACTGTATCGTCGAAGGCTTTCATGGCCGGAATCACTGGGTTGCTGTAGGTTTTTTTGGGCTGTATGGCCATGTTCTAGAGCCATTCTCCCCTGATGTTTCGCCTGCATCAGAGACCTCATAACCTCTGAGGATGCTTGCCATAGATGAAGGCAAAATGTCAGGAGAGAATGCTTCTAGAACATGGCCATACAGCCCGAAAAAACCTACAACAACCTAAAAGGAACACCTTTCCCAGCATTCTTTTCATTAGTGGATTTGGGTTACAGGGGGTTAAACTGCTGAGCTTGTTGACCGAAAAGTTGCAGGTTCGAATCCAGGGAGGGGCATGAGCTCTCGCTGTCAGCCCCAGCTTCTGCCAAACTAGAAGTTTGAAACATGCAGATGTGAGTAGATCAATAGATACCACTCTGGCGGGAAGGTAACGGCGCCCTACGCAGTCATGCAGTGGCCACATGACGTTGGAGGTGTCTATGGACAACGCCGGCTCTTTGGCTTAGAAATGGAGATGAGCACCAGCCCCCAGAATCAGACATGACTGGACTTAATGTCAAAGGAAAACCTTTACCTTTACCCTGTCTCCCTTTGCTCTGGAAGGGAGCGGGGTATTTATGTATGAGACGGAATTTGCCCCTCATGTCTCTCTTAACAAGTGTGACGCTCAAAAGTCCACTGCAGGGAACAGGCACCGAACTGATCTTTTCACGTGCCCTTTGACCCTACTTCCCTCTTATCTGACAGCTTCCCCATGTAAAAACCCATGTTGACTTTAGGCTCAATTATGAGCTGCTTTTGTTTGTTTGGTCTTTTTTGTCCCACGGTTTGCTCTTTTACGGAAAATGCCTCGGATAGAAGAGGGAATGCCTGAGTTGTTTAAAAAATGGTTTTATTTATATTCCACTTTTGTCCTGGCCTGGCAGCCTGCGCAGACCAAATTTGGACACAAGACACATAACAACTCAATCATAGAATCATAGAATCAAAGAGTTGGAAGAGACCTCATGGGCCATCCAGTCCAACCCCATTCTGCCAAGAAGCAGGAATATTGCATTCAAATCACCCCTGACAGATGGCCATCCAGCCTCTGTTTAAAAGCTTCCAAAGAAGGAGCCTCCACCACACTCAGGGGCAGAGAGTTCCACTGCTGAATGGCTCTCACAGTCAGGAAG